CACATTCTTGTTCTCAAGTGCGAGCCATACATACCCAGGAAGTAACATGCTGAATTTTGTACCGTCGTATTGTGATTTACATAGAGACGGTAGATTAGGTCAATGTACAAGTGGTCTAAGCAGTATTTCGTCCCATATTGCATTAAAATTCATTAATAGCCCCGAAAACTCATAATTGGACACGTTGCTTGAAATGGTAGCTGCTGAGAAAACTGAAATCCATTGGATTTGGATTATTATCCCTGAATATAATACTCATATGTTTAAGTGCCCTTCATGGGTGAAAAGGCATTTACAAGATTGTAACATGCATTTTAATAATACGGAAAATACATGTTCTATGTCAATGCTAAAAATAAGATTTGAAATAAGCCTATTTTCTTGTATGCAACATTGCATGGAAACGGTAAGTCTGGGAAGGTTTTAGGAAATAGCTGAACTGTACGTGAATATTTTCTCATTTTTGTGACATTTCTTGGCTGACCTACGACCCCGACTAGGATAAGCAGTAGGATGAATGACTTGGTTGATGCTGATCTAAAGCAGTTTCCCAACCCAGTCTTCAGGAACCCACAGATGGTCCAGGTTTTTGCAAAAACGTGAACTGTCTGGAGTTCCTTGAAGTCCAGATTGGAAAACACTGATCTAAAGCGATTTAACTTTTTTATGCACCTCTATATTTAACTGAAGCAGCCTAGAGTGAGTACTTTCCTTAAGGGTACAACAGAGAAGACCCTTTTGTGACTTAAATCACTAATAATGAGGCTGTAATTTTGTGCTTAATATGCTGCCAATCTGCAAAATCCCCTTTTTTTTTTAATAACAGTTTGTTGCTGAGCGAAGATTGCATTTGCCTGTATAGTCCTATTAATTCGTGGTTTTTCGAGAAATAAAAAAAAAAACTCTTCAGACTTCCGTGGGTGTTTCATGTTTGATCAGAATAAAAAAAATATTCAAGTGTAAGTAGATCAGGCTACATAAATCTAGCCAGCTTTACTTTCAGTTTAAAATAGGAGCATTGGAAGCATTACTATGGTTCACACTTGTGATCCTTATTGCTTTTGTCGCAACTGAAAAACAGAGGCCACCTGACCAGCTGTAGGACATGGGCTGACCCACCCAGGATGTTCTGGGATGCTGGAGTACTGTAACCAGAGTACTTTTTTTACCTCTTTTGTGCTCGTGTCTGAGAGAGGCCCAAGTCTATCCAAAGACCTCTGGATGAAAACAGCCATTGTATCATTCACACTGGTTACATGGCAAAAGAACAAATATGTATTTCTTCTACTGGATATCTACATGCTTAAATGTGACAGAGTATTAGTGGAAGGACTGGGGGAAAAAAGAAAAATAAAAAAAAACTGACAGCATTATTTTCATGGAATGTACATAATCCTCATTACGTCAAATCTGAAACAATTCCTGTCACGTCTTGTTAATCTGTAGCGGTTGGTCAAAGCGTAATTAAAATCATATACAAAAAATTCTTTCAGCAGTTTATACTGGTGTTGTACCTGGCTGAACTGTACTAGATAATGGCTGATTTTTTTTAAAAATGGCCTCAAGTTAATCCCCATTAAGGTACAGTAACAATGCAGGAAGTACCCCTCCCTGTCACAATCAGCTGGACTCACTATTTGGCAGGAAGTGTATTCTCTGAAGGCTGTTTCAGTGGTGACACCTATTACCTAATAAGCATCACTAGCGAACTTGGTTTCTCTAGTGGATTTGTAATTCCCTCTCATGAGCGATTCAGGATAATTATTCACAACTATAGTGACTTAAATAGAAATGGTAGTTCTTCTCTTTTCCTTTAACCCTTGGCACGAAACCTGCTGAGTGCAAGTCTTATCAGAGGAATGTCACAGCTACTGCACAGCAGGCTGGAAATAAAGACGATCATGTGACCAGGCCCGCAAGACTGACCTCAATGTTGGCAGCTCTCCACGCTGCAATTCACCATCGCAGATAACTCCAGTGCAGCTCTCGATTGGGACTTTTATACAGTTTCGGGAATGGAGACACATTAGTAGTCTCTCTTTCAGGACAAATGAACAAGCTCCCAGTGAAAGATTATTAATGAACTTGAGTTATTTCGAGAAATCTCTACCAGTTTACTGTAAATGATTAAAAATTGTATGACAGTGAATAGTTCAGTACTATCTACATCATCTTCAGTGCATTTAGTGAATGTTGATTATGATTAACCTCAGCTTAAAGGGATTGTAAGATAAGATACAATTAGCAGTTAAAATGTGTGATACTGCTGGTTAAAACACATCCATGGAAAAAAAAATTACTGGCAGCTTTCTTGACCACATTATAGTACTTCGTGCATGTTGACTTTTGCTTCCATAAAACAATCTTTGTACAGCAGGTTCCACCCCCATTCAGGCATGACCCTTAATTCAGAACAAGTGATTCAAGTAAAAGAATCTGTGGTTTTAGTCTTTTGAAACAGGTGCATAATCATCATTCACAGGTTATTCAATGTCATTTTGAAGAGAAATATGTCTGACCCCCGAGCTATGGAAATGGACTTAATTATAGGTATTATATGAAACTAAAGAACCCCTTCACATTTTGGTCAATCTGGGCCTGACACATCAGTCAGAAAAAGACAAACTCACATGAACCCACATGAAAAGAAACAACAATGGAATTTGCAGGAGAGACATAGAAAACTTTCAAGATATTTATTGCCACCATTTTTTTCTGCTTGTGACTTCAATCATATTGGTAACGGATTTTAAAAAAACGTCATTAGATCAAATGGCTCCAGCCGGGTTGTTGAATGGGAATTGGCAATGCTGCAGCAGGTTCAGTGATCAGTCACACCACACACACAAAGTACAAACATCAATCACACGTTTCCAAGTGCCCGTTTCTCACCAAACCAGACAACATAGAACTTGTAAGTACAGTTCTCACATCTCTTCGCTAGTACTGATGAGGTGCAATCTTGACAAATTTCTTCTCTTTCAGTGGTTGTGAATCAAGTAACCTAACCAGCAATGTCTCATTCAAACTGCTGGTTGTCAAAATGAAGAACTCTCGCAGTCATTGGACCAATGCATGCTCTCCTGTGTGTTACCTACAATGTGTAAACACAACATCACACTAGTGTGACTGTAGCATTTACACTGCCTACAAACTGCATGGAGAACATACAGAAGCTGTTGTTCATACTGTTCTATTCTGGGCCTATGGCAAAAAGCAGCTCATCTCATTTAGCTGGATCTTCACTTCTTGATGCACATTAAGAAACTCCAGCATAAGCATTCCCAATATCTTCCTGTGGCTTTGTTCACATTGTGTGGGGGGGGGGAGACTTGGATCTTTAAGAGCTACAAATGGCGAAGGTAGTCACAAAACTTTTACCAATTTTATTTGAAAAACTTCCTGATATTTTGAAGAAGAAAAAAAAAAACACGAATCGCATTCAAAAACACAGGAGTAAGAATATGGCAGTAACCAAAGTTTTCGTATTCTGGTTTTTTAATGCAGACGTAAAGTATAAACACTGAGTTGCTATTCTTATAGCTCTTGATTTTGTCTATATAGGACAGTTAAAAATACATTACATACCTGACATTTAAAGGTTTAATAATTTTATCATAACAAATGTTATTATACAACAAAATGTACTAATTGAGGAAAAACTAAGATTAAACAATTTTTTCAGCATTTTGCAATATTTATACAAACTAAAGGTTGAGTATTTGCAAATGGAAAAAAAAATTAACTGTGGTATACAAATATTCAAACTTTACAAAATTTAATAAATGGATTTTTGTTCAAACTACGGGATTGAGCATAAGATGTTTATCTTCATAAACAAAAATATTGTTCAAACATGATCTGTACAGCTAAAATAGGAACCTGCATGACACACAAATACAAAAAAAAAACTAATTATGTGTTTCAAATATAATTGACATAAACTGAAGTGATACTCCTGAAAAAGTATTACACTTGACAGGTTACAAAATGCCTATCATTTCTTTAAAAAAAATAATTTAGAATATTACAAAAGGCTTTTGCCTCCCCAGCAAACTGCCCAGATGCTACTCAGGTGACTGCTGCTGGTCCATTAAGGGACTGCACTTGGTGAAAGAGGGCTTTGCAGGGGTCCTACCTGCCCTTAAGCCCAAATAAATACATCAAAATCAAAGATGAGCTAAAACAAATCCCATATCTGCTCTTGACCTGCGACTTCCAAATCAAAACTGCAAATTCTCCCATTTTCTGCCTATATGATGCTAAGTTAATCCAATACCGATTTTTTTGTATATTTAAAAAAGAACCAGCAGATCTGTGTGCTGTCAATAAAATTGCATTTACCAAACTTAAACCCCCCCCCCCACCCCATGCATTTTTTGCATTCATTGCAGTCACACTCTAGGAAAATCAAGCTCTAAAAGTACTTTCCTTAAAAGTAATAAATGCAAATGAATCCTATATAAGGGGAATGCATGTTCGACTAACATTCTGTAAAAGGGCCCCCAGCTCACAGGTTTATCACGATGGTGGGTACAGAGCAGGAAATATCACAAGCACTCTGTGGAACATCAGTTTTCAGTGGTGTGCTACCACCCCCAAGCCTCGAGAACTGACTCAACATCCCAAGCTGGAGATCAACACCAAGAGATGGGCTCCCAGGAACTCCGGGGCGAGAAGCAGGCTCGGTGCAGGAGGAGCCCTTACGGGAAGTCGTTCAGGCTCCCTGATGACTCATGGTTTCCTCACTCAGCTGGAATGTGTTTGCCTTGGCCTGGGAGCGGTCGACACGGCCCCGCCCCCTCCTCAATGCCTCCAGGCTACACCCCCCCACCCACAACCGTATTTTTATTTTTTTTTCTTGAGGTAGGCTTCTCTGTCACCGTCTTGTCTGCAGCCCACCATGGCCTGTTCTTCTCTGGATTACAGAAACCCCATGTGGCACAAGGCCATCATCACATGCCAAAACTATCGCCCCCCCACCCCAGCCCACCCCCCCGTATTCCCCACCATGGACATCACCTTAACAGCACGTCTATGGGACTGTCAATAAAAACACTGAGGCCTGAAGCACTGGATTCAGGAGTGGGCCGGTCCCCCTCTCACAGTGTGGGCTTGGCTCCGGCCCTGGCTGGACTCACAGCAGGTTGGCCAGGCTGGTGGTGGGACCATTCTGGGCTTGAATCTGCACCGGTGGTGGGCCGTCTGTCCACTGCCACACGGGGCACAAAGAAAGGAGGCCAGGTCTTACATTCTGAAGCTATAACCCGGCATCACATGATTGCTGCTTTGCAAAACATCACATGTCAAAAGGGATAGATGTATTGCACAGGTCTTATTAAACAGGCCTTTTCAAATGGCTGATATTGGATGGTATTTTCAAACATCAATGAAGACTCTACCATAATAGAAGGAACTGTGCCTAGAAAAATGCTTTTATTGTCCTAGAGATAAACAGGGAATATTAATGTGTCCACATCAGAGTCACAGCCTCAACCTAACGGCATCTTTGGGATGAACTGGAACACACAATTAGGGCAAGACCAAGACGGTCCTCTTCAGCAGTGGATCCAAATCGTGCCTTAAAGGACCAGCAGAGCACAAAACTAGTTTTTTTTTAATTCTCTCAGTTACTGGAACTGAGCATAGAACTATCTTTGCGGAACTGAAGCTTCTATCAAAACGCTGTTAGATTCTAATCAGAGCAGCCTCTAGTTTTTGGTTTGCCTGTATGTCCAGGTCCCACACTGGTCTGTACTGGGTGCAGGTAGCCCATACTCACGCTGATGAGGTTGTGGTCTGGGAGGCTGCAGGCAGCGATGTGGTCCTGGAGGAGCTGCTGGGAGAAGTTCTGGTGCATCTGGGCTGCTTCATGCGCCTCCATGGAATTCCCACAGGCTTTGTTCAAATCTGGCCAGGAGTGTGAACACCAGCCTCATAGTTTCATTATTATTCTTTTTTTCATTCATTAAAACTCACTGCTGTAGCTCTTATCCAGAAGAAATTCCATCTTAGGACACTGAACACAGCACTTTAAAGTTAAGTTATTTTGTCCACTGTCCTGACTAGCTGTATTGCTATATCGATTTTTACTGAATACATTGATTTGCCTTGGATACAAGCAGTAAGGAAATTCATAACATTCTAAAAGCTTAACATGTGTAATCATGACTCTTATTGACGGATGTGAGCTGGAACATTACATTTTAACCTTCAAACAAGATTAACCATGACTGGAAACAGCTCTAAATACTTGATTGTACCTTTCAGAAGGGCTGAGGACCACAGCTGAACAGACATGTCTGGGATTTTGCTTGCCAGCTGCATTGCTGGGACGACCATGTTGTTGCTCTCCTACAAGGGAAAGAAAAGTCTAATGAAGGCTGGAAGACGGCATCTGTAGGGCCGTGACAGTCCTGTCTGAAAACGTCAACCCAAACCGCTCAGCTCGTCCGGCTCCTTTTGAGAATACAAGATTTAAGAAGACTCATCATTGCCTCCGAGATTCACCCAATCACCCCGGACATCACCTGAACATGTAACCTGTGTGGCCACAGCAAAAACTGTACCGTAGTGCGGATCAAAACAGGGAACATGCAGCATTAGTGAAGCATTAGTGAAGCATTAGTGAAGCATTAGTGAAGAACACTGCATGCATGATCTCACCAAACTATCATTTTGTAAATTTTCCAGAGGGACAACAGAGATCAAAACTCCGTGAGCCTTCAGGAGAGCCCACACAGAATCTTCATGAAAATTCCACATGGGCTATTAAGAGCAGATATCTCACCCTGTGGTTCCCCAGCACGTAGAATATGTGGCCCAGCAGGACGAGAGAGCACGCCGTCAAGCGGTTCAGGTCCTCAGCATTGGACATCTTCAGCGTCTCCCGCAGGAACCGCCTGAAAAGGACGGCAGGAGAGTGACACTCAAGGTGGGTCTCACAGCCTTAAGCAGCGGGAGAGGAACACGAGGAGCAATGTACCCACTTAGCTTCACTGTAGCGCCCCTGGAAGAAGGAGAGAAGTCCTCGGATGTAGAAGGCGGCCGCTCGCAGACAGTGGGAGCTGGAGTGAGGGAGACAGAAAATTATACTCACCCAAAGCAAAAAAAAATAAAAAAAAATAAAAAAAAAAAAGACAGGAAGATAATATCTGCAGATCCATCAATGTGTTTAAGCACAAATCTCTGCCTGAAGAGGAGTGTTGGGCGACACAACAGCAAGTTCTTTACCTTACAGGAAAGTTGCGATCGGGATTGATTCTCTCCAGAAGACTGTAAAGCTTCACAGAGAAAAAGGGGAATCAGAACATTTCACATGCGCCCCCCCACTCCCCCAGTTTAAATAATGGATCTCATTGTGCCAGTTTATGGAACATCTCTGTCCCGCAGCGTCATAACAAAACGTGGAGCCCCAGACCAGACCTCCTGCTGCCGGTTCCCTTCCCTGATGTAGACACTCGCCAGGTTGGTCACGATGAAGGTCCACAGTTCCTGGTGTGTGGTCAGCTGAGGGAGACACCGCCAAGTTAGCGCTTAGCCACCAGCTTCCGCTGGCGCCCACAGGTTGCAGCCTGGAGCGACAGACTGCAGGGGGCGCTGTGTAATCCTCAAGATGAGTAAGGGGTCACTCACCTGAAGTGCAGTTGTGAACTGTGCCTCTGCATTGTCCATGCAGTTCACAGAGATACAGTACAAACCCTGGAGGCAAGAAATGAGTCTTACAAAACAACCAGTGAAGGTAAGGAACCCAGAAAATTGCTGCTTTACCACACTATGGGATCTGGGGCGTTTCTAGCTATTGAAATAAATCAGGGGTTAAGTCAAGTTCACCTGGGGCATCAGGGTAAAATAAATACCTTGGGCTACAGCGCCAATGATCAGACTTAAGGACGCTCACAGATAGGTCAGCTACCCTGTTAAAGACACCCGCTGGTTTCAAATAGGATTTTTTTTTTAAGGAAAGATCTGCTGAAATACTGAAGGACTAGTATACAGACAGACACAACAAATACCCGATCTGAATCCAAGTGAAAATTTCTGACCAAGTCTGCTGGAATTCCCACCATGGTAACAATAAAAAAAAAAGAACATCCAGCTCTCTGAATCTAGAAGCTAGGGATGCCTGGAAGGTATCAGCTATGCAGCGAGAAGAAAAGAACTCACTAGTAGAGTATGGAGCTGAGCAGCGTGGTTGGAGAATAACCTGGGAGACTGCTGGCACAATTGGCAAACCTGGGATATCTGAAGCGAGACAGGAGGAAGGTAACTACACATTTAACATAGAAACCCAGGCTAACGGAGTAGCCTGTAATGCATCATCAAAAACACCATAACAGCAAGATACCACTACAGCTCAGAGCGTGAAACACCCACAAATCGAAACATTTCAATGATCTGAATCTCTTAGTCCGAGTTCCTCGCCTTTTGTCGAAAGCATCGAACACAGGGCAGGATCTTGCAAAAAGCAGCCGGACACCAACCTCTTGCAATGCTGTCGCCTTGTGGCCGGTGACGAGTCGGCACATGATGATGTGCTCCAGGAGGATGACTTGGAAGGAAGAAAGGATGGGACTGCAGTCCAGCACTGGAACGGACACGACGACACAAAAAGGAAAATAAGCAGATGACACTACAATGACATCATGGATAGTAAAACGATAATGAGGTCATGGTAAGGGAGCAGCGTTTGTGTTTGGGATTGGGGACTATCTGCATTAATTACAGGAATCTAGTAAGGTGATCAAAAGAGAGTCTCTTAAATAGATCAATAATAGAAAGCACTGGACAGATTCCACTCACAACGGGTTTAAAAGCTGGGCGATTGCAGCGTTATGGATGTGACATTTAGACTCATACTGGCAAACAAAATACCTCAGAAAATAGAGAAGCCTAATACCACTGAGTTGATTTATATTCTTTGTGTAACCTGTACTGCTGTATCGAACACCCGAACTCTCAAGGGTTTGCGAACCATGCTTAAAATTCGAGCACAAACCCCCCCCCCCCCCCACAAAAAATTATTTATGTTCTTATCCCAAATATGTAATGTTTCAAACCAAAAGTAAACAATATGTATGTCTGTGGTCTCCCAGGGCGTAGAATATGTAGGTCAGCAGTATGAGACAGCATGTTAAGTATTTTTTAGGAAATTACCATGGGAGATTAATGATTAAATATGATCATTTATCATTTCTTAAACAGATTAGTCACATTTTTGTCGGTGTTTATCCAAATAAAAATCTGAATATTATTAAGTAGTTTGATCCGGATTGTTATACGAGAAATCTTTAGTGTGTTCAGTAATGAGATTTCAACGCCCAACTTGAATGCCTGTGTATATTTTGTATCACAGATGTAATTTTTTGCAGCCTTGTTTTATTTTCCAGCAGCTACCATTACAGCAAACTCTCCTGCTGCAGAGCTCATTTGTTGCACAGCTAGCTGGTTTTATATATTCCGAACATCGTCATCAATTGTTCAAAAACGGTAACTCAAGAGGCATTTCTACTGTGAAACAAATGTAACGATAAGGAACAGGTCATTACTTGAACGCTAATCGCCAAATCTTAAACTAAAAACGGGTTTTGGGATGAGCCCTTTTTCGATCGACAGTACATAGATCAGAGGTCTCCAACTCCGGTCCTGGAGAGCTACCGTCCAGTAGGTTTTCTATC